CGGTGGTATAGTTGGTGGTGTCTCTGGTGGACTGTTTGGAGGACTCACGGGGGGAGCTTGCGGTGGTGTTGTTGGTGGAGTCTCTGGTGGGCTGTCTGGAGGATTCACCGGCGGAGCTTGTGGTGGTGTGATTGGTGGAGTTTCTGGTGGACTGTTTGGAGGACTCACTGGTGGAACTTGCGGTGGTGTGGTTGGTGGAGTCTCTGGTGGACTGTTTGGAGGACTCACGGGTGGTGTTGTTGGTGGAGTTTGGGGGCCTGGCGGTCTGGTTATTGGTGAAATCTGCGGGGTGGGTGGTGGGGTGTTTTGTGGAGGCGGTGGTAGTGGTGGACAAACACATGGTGGACATGCCGTTGGAGGTGGAGGCGGAGGTCGGCGTGGAGGTGGGGGCGGGGGTCGGCGTGGAGGTGGGGGCGGAGGTCGGCGTGGAGGTGGAGGTGGAGGCCGTCGTGGACTAGGCCGGGTCTGAGCTTCTGTTTGGCCCAGGAAGAGAATGCTGATCAATGCAAGGACAAGAGCCAAGGTTTTTGCTAAACCTTGTCGAGCCATTTTGTTCTTAGGTAATCTTTCTCCTCACAAAAGGGAAATTGAACGGATATTGGTGGATTCTAGTGTAGTGTGACCGTGAGTATTTATAGCAGCTTTTGGAGTCAATAGGTTTCATTCTATTGCCAAACCCTCTTCTTCTGGTTAAGGCTCATAGGTGGCTTTACTTCAAGTCATTTTTCAAAAATTCTTTTTTCTACAAATTCAATATATATAATCGGTCAGGCACTCGTATTCGTCTTAGTCTTTAGTTGAAGACTATTTTGTATGAAGAAGCATTTCTTCTTATTCCATTTATATTATACTATAAGTGATATTGTCGATATAAATATTGTTATACGATTTTAGTACAACACAAGTACACAACCCATGTTTCGTGAACTTGTACATATTCATATGTATTTGCAGTCGATAACTAGAGTTGTTATGAACACCCCAATGATATGGGTGATGATTTAGAGTAGAACCAGCTTGTCTTGGAATATTTTTTTGTTGTGTTCTCATTAGAAAAAGACTAGCAATTAATATGTGAAATCCCTTATACAAGATTGGTTGCAATCTGGACTGAGTCATGCAGTTAGGAAACGTCTTTGGTGTACTATTAACAAAAGTAGATTTGTAAAAACATGTTTGGCAAAGTTCTGGGCAATGTCTTCGATAAAAATATATGACTTTCAAGAATTCGAGATGGACTGTACAAAGTCGGCCTGTTAAAAAATATTTTGCTTTCTCCAATCTTATAGATGAATCTGTTTTGCTCCAAGATAGATTCCCAATTAAAATAAAAATAAAAAGACTAAGGGGATTTTATTCCAGAGCTTTTGAAACTTGGTCTATTGTTAACACTTACGTAAACTATGTGCTTCCGGATTGGGCAACCAAATAAAGGAGTCTTAGTTTAACTTAATGTACTAATAATGACATTTAGTATCATCAATGATCGTTTCAATTATATGGTTCTTGAGATGATGGTATGGTTTATATTGTATTTTTGGTTTCCCTAAAAACACTACTGCACAAGTTGGGCTTGTAAGAATTTTATTATCATGCAAATAATTGAAAACCCTTTATTAAAAAAAAACTATCGATTGCATTTTTAAAGAGACGAAACCACGTCATAAGAAGTGTTTCGGCGTTGAGAGATTGATACAATGGAGGGGTCGAATCAAGCTTGGATTGGAGCATCTGGGAGATGTCTTTGATTACGATCGAGAAGGCCTTTGAATTATTTCTTCTTCTTTTTTTGTTCCATTTACATGACTATATACGTTTTGTTATTAACACGTTTTTGTGGGAGATGTCTTCTTATTAACACGTTTTGTTAGACGCGATTTCAGGATTC